TTGCGGGATTTGCCTCCTTTTCCTCCACATCATCCACTCTGCGCTCGTGCGTCATCCCGCGAGGACGCCAGAGGAGGAGAACCTGCTGAACTCACCGTCGATGGTCTCGTGGTAGCCCTTGGTGAAGAACTGGATGGCCTTGGCGGCGCGCAGCGGCGTGCGCAGCAGCCCCTCGCGGTCCGWGTCCTCGCCCAGGTGCCGCAGGATGCTGGTGTAGGCGGCCTCCAGCGCCGGGAGGCGGGACTCGTCCTCGGACTCCTTGCGGGACGTCTCGTGCTTGCGGTGCGCGGCGGCGGACTTCTTGGTGTCCATGATCTTGAGGTCGCCGAACGAGTTGTTGCAGACGTGGAACTCCTCCACGGTTTCTCCGACCTTTCCGTTCATCTTGTCGCCTTCTTTTTTTTTTGGGAGAGAAGAAGAAGAAGTCAAATGAGAGAAAAGAAGAAAAGCAGAAGCGAGAGGATTAGAAGCTGAGTTTCAGAGACTGCTCGCCGTCATTTCTGCCTTTTATGAAGGCTGCGGGAGCGCACCGAGCTGTGATTGGTCAGAGCGCCTCTTACGTCACAACACCGGGTCATCACCTCCTCTCCCTCCTCCTCCTATTCATGGTTTTCTGCATCCAGCATCACTTGACACTTAATGCATTAGACCCAACTCTGATTCATTTGTTGCGATTATGTTCCAGAATTTCACTACACGCTCCATCAAAAGTGCTCATGAGACTTCTTCTTCTTCTTCTTCTCTTTTTAATTTACTTTTTCAAAAAGATTTTAGTTCGATTTAAGAGTTTGGACCAAGTCAGGTGGCAGGCACTCCTGACCAAAACCTCTCCTGAAGYGAATAATCAGAAACCAAACATAAAGTTCATGTCACAAGTACAGCTGAGATCAGATTGAGCTTTGTGAACACGGTGCAAGGATAAAAGCAGCTTTTTCTTCAGTTCATTACAGCATTTCTTGAAAGAATGCATATCACCCACCACCTTGTTGACCCATCACATCGCATCGAACTGAACATTCACTCCTACATGTGGAGAAATAATCAGATTTTGGTTAAAACCTTTGCAACAATTGTATTTTGTACAAATGAACCTTATCTACGGGTCATTTAAATAAAATATCTGAAATATAATCTTCAATATAATAATAAAGGGTACTTAAAGGATGACATTAAACTGTAAACAAAGACTGTAAAAATTGCAGTTTTTATAATTTTTTAACAATATTGTCACTTGGATGGTGCATTTAAAAAAAAAATAAATTTCACCGAATCTAAACGTGCTCAGAGAATAACACAAAGTTACAGCAATGGACTTCTATCGTGTCACAACATCCATGAAAAAGTGCCTTTTTTTTCCTCTGGCAATATTTATTTAACAAAGACAGAAATACCTGGTCCAAGAATGAAGGTACTCTGTGAGATGATCAGCTGAGTTTTATTGCAACAACAGGAACACAGAGAACCTGGCCTGTCTCTGTGCCTGTGCCTCTCTCTGTCACTCCACTCCACACTACTCATTGTTGAGAGGCCTCATATACATATTAACATCATTCTGTCATCTTAGCAAGATTTGATACAAGGTCAATGGAAAACAAAGATAAACACAAGTGATATCTAAGAATGATTATTGTTGTTAGCACATCTTGTTCTGACTTTAATCATTCTATCTGCAGATGAACAGCATGTCATGAAAACCTAAGTCATTAAAGGATGTCATGAATTACTTGCTTAAACATAAAAGTATTAGTTCCATTACACCTCCCCCATCTGATCATTAAATCACCAATTAAATGATCAACAAAACAAAAAACTCTTTAATGTATTTTTTTTAAAAACATGTCAACATAAACCTAAGTATACGTACTTTTCTAAAATCCCAACCCCAGTAATTCAATTTTTATTCCCCCCACAGTAATTACTAACCCCAAAACATAGTTATCACACAGAAGTCTTTGGATCATGTTGAACACAAACAGGCTTGTCTGTTTTGTTGTGTGGAAGGGTCAGAGGTGGTGGTGGGGCTMTKYGACKTTTTGTAGATCTTGGTTTAGTGCGAGGGGCTGGAAATGGAGGGTTAGCAGGATTTGGACATGGTGTTTGTTTGATCTTAATCT